AGTTTAATATCTGATCGGTGGTCCATGACTCAATGGGACCAAAAAAAAAAAAAAAAAAAAAAAAAGTACCCCTCTGTGTTTTCTGACTGCTAAAGATGCACCCCTAAATCACCAAGTAGAATTTTTTTTTTTCTTTTGTTTAATTAAACTGATCAGAACATATACTACACTTGATCTTAGCCAAGAGGCCGACAAAATCAAGATTAAAAAAAAAAAAAAAAGGCCGACAAGTTTTTTTTTTTTTGGCCCACTACAGGCCAAGTAGCCCAACGCACATAGATTGGGTTGGGCTATTCCGCCTAGCGTCCTGTCGGAGGTGAAAAACATATGGGGCTCGCTGCACTACTCTAGTCTAAGACTGGTGAAAATTTTCTAGAGTCGTTCTAGTAGAGTCATCAGAGTCACAAAAAGTCCTAAAATCTACGCATAGCCGCACTAGCTCTATCTAGACTCTAGAAAAGCTACTAGAGTTGCTCCGTCACTTTCTGAGTTCTGCCATTTCATTACAGGACAGCGCCAGGCCGCTGGGTTGTCCATCCAGACCCAAGGCCCACTCAACGAAAACCAACTTGAAGGCATTTCAAGGGTCCTCCGGAACTCCCTAGAAAAAAAAAACCGCCTTTGCAGGTTGGTGCTCTAGATCAATCTAGAGTGAGGAGGACGGACCTGGTGCTCAAGAAATGAAAAATCTAGAGCCAACTTATCCAGTACTCAGTGGAGCAATGACGACTATATAAGTTTTCTAGAGTCTTTATGACAGCTCTAAACGGAACAGGTTTTCGAGCGCCCGTTTCTTGAGTAAACTCTATAAGTTTTCTAGAGTGGTTCTCATAGCTCCAGAACAGGTTTTCGAGCGCCCGTTTTTTGAGTAACTGCAGCCATACCGCACTCAAGAAGAAGGTCGAATCTAGAGTAGTGCAGCAAGCCCCTATGAGAAAGAAAAAAAAAGAAAAAAGACCCAAAAAAAAGAGTGTATTTAGTGAAGTCCTCGTTTTTCTTCCCATTTTTTTAATTTTCTTTCAAAACAGTCCAGGCCGTTGTGGAGGTTGGACGCTAGACATCGTAGCGTCCTGATTGAGGGAAGGTTCCCTCCAATACTTTTTTTTTTTTTGTTGAGAAAAAGGGAGATCTTTTTCTTTTTCTTTTTCTTCCTAAATGTATCTAACCACGCCTGTCTTTAAAAAAATAATAATAATAAATGTATCTAACCATAATTACGGCCCTACTTGCATGCATCAAAACCACATTCACGTCCAAAAATAAGTGAAAAAGTCGATGTGTGAGTGTGCTCACACCGTAACGGCAGTGTAAGCAAAAAAGTGGTCAGAAATTCAGTATATAAGTGGCGTCATTTGCTGCGGCGTTCTGCAGCGGCGAAGCTAAGAAAGACAAGGGGCAAAGAAGACTGATATTGTGAGAAACTGTGTTCGGTGTCCTACCTAGCAGGGGAGGAGCAGAAGGGTTGGTCGGTCTCCCCGTACCGATCCCGGTCTAGCACTTGGGAGAGGAAGGAAGTGAAAGTAAGGGTCTCCTGCGGGATTTTGGACACTCACCGAACAAGCCCGGCGTTCTCCAGCCCGGCCCGTTGCGAGGAAGAGTGGTGCTCTGTGTTCTTGCTGTGTAAAGAAGGAGAGAGAAAGACGGGAGGGGTAGGTGGGGTGGGCGGGTGCCGAGGACGGTGTGCTGCTGATCGTCGATATGGGGTTCGTGTCAGCAGGGCGGAAGATAGGCTCAGGCATTTGTCGAGAGAAGTCGGCCTGTGTCTTTTGGAGAGTACCGGTAGGCGGAGCGAGTTTGAACAGCTATCATGGAGGAGGAGGAGGAGCAGCAGGAGGAGTGTGCAATCTGGGTGAATCCGGTCATGCCGGCGATGGCCGGGTCCATCTGTACCACACGGAGTCAGGAGGAGTTTCGAGATCGGATGGCTTTGGCAGCCTGTATTCGCCGCGATGGCGGGTAAGAAACGGTGAGGCCGAAGGTAGTATGAAGCCTGCTGCGGCGCAGGCTGCTGTTGCAGTAGGCCCCGGCCGCGCCAGCGTCGATAAACTCTCTTGCTTCGGGAACGTCCTTCGACGAGGAGGGGGAGCTTTGACCAATGGGTCCGCAAACGTCGGGATCCGAGATCGAGCGGAGATTGCCTCTGTGCGGCGGAGTCTGCACGCCGCTGCTGCTGTGAAGAACTCCGCTGGTCGTCTCCTCCATCCGAGAGGTCTGGAGGTCGAACCCCAGGTTAGCCTCGGGTTCGCCGCACAGGCTCCAGGGGGGGGGTTACTTAATGTGCACGTGCGCCGCGGCCTGTCCACCTGTAGTCACAGCTCAGCTGGGATCGAACTCAACGGTTTCGTGTTCGAACCGCAGAACGGACGCGTCTCTTTGCGACCAGGAACGACGGCAGCATTCTCGTCATCAACGACTGCGGCTGCGGCGGCGGCGGGCGCGGGCGCGGGCGGGAGAAGTGGTGTGACGGGTACGAGAGAAGCAGCGCGTTCCACGGTAGGCCTGGCGCGCAGTGATTCCAGCGAGCCACGTGAAGCTCGCGAAGACCATGGTGGTAAAGGCGGGATGGATACGACGAGGGAGGTCGCGGCCGTGGAAGACGCCCATCGGGTCTCTGAATGGGCTGTGGAGCCAAGGAAGCTGAGCCGCGCAGACGGGACACCATGGCCGTGGAGGTCCTTTTCTCCCAAAGATGCAGTGCGCTACGACAGCGATCTCCCTGCCTCGGAGTTGATGAGGCATCATCCGCCGCAAAATTTCGGGGATAAATTCGCCTATTACCTGATAAAATTTCTGCGAGTCCCGACAGATTTGTTTTTCCGCAAGAAGTATGGTTGCCGTGCTGTGATGTTAGAGACTGTGGCCGCTGTGCCGGGGATGGTGGGGGGGATGCTCCTCCATCTCCAGTCCTTGAGGAGATTCGAACACAGCGGCGGATGGATTCGAACTCTGATCTCTGAGGCGGAGAATGAACGTATGCATCTGATGACTTTCATGGAATTCGCGAAGCCTCCCTTATGGGAGAGAGCGCTGGTGATCGTGACGCAGGGAGTGTTTGGGAGCGCGTTCTTCTTGCTTTACGTAATCAGTCCACGTGTCGCGCACAGAGTGGTTGGCTACCTCGAGGAGGAGGCGGTTGTCTCGTACACCAGATATCTCGAAGAGATTGATGCGGGAAGGATAGAGAACATCGCTGCGCCGCAGATCGCGATCGACTACTGGGGGCTTCAGCGGGACGCGCGTCTCCGCGACGTCGTGCTGGCGGTGCGCGCCGACGAGGCGCATCATCGGGACGTTAATCACTTCGCATCAGACATCAAGAGAGCGGGCAAGCAGCTGAAGGACATGCCGACGGCCCTCGACTAAGACCAATGAATCGTTTCGTCGAGTATGACCATGTTACCTCGTTGCGCGCTGATGTCTGATTAATGTTTGGTCAGTTGCTCGGCTGCCCCCGTGCCCGAGGGGCGTGCCCGCGGGCGCCATCGCTGGGAGCTACAAGCGGGATGGGCGGTCAGCAGCAGCATCTCTCTCTTGTTCGGAATTATCCAGAGAGAGAGAGAGCTGGACAGAGAGAGAGAGCTGTGGAGAGAGAGAGAGAGAGAGAGAGAGAGAGAGAGAGAGAGAGAGAGAGAGAGAGTTTGTACAGAGCGGATCCGTGCTGGTAGATATTTGTAAATTTGTGTTTGTGTTTGTGTGTGTGTGTGTGTGTGTGTGTGTGTGTGTGTGTGTGTGTGAGAGAGAGAGAGAGAGAGAGAGAGAGAGAGAGAGAGAGAGAGAG